TTGAGCAACATTTGGCAGGGCATTGTCCTTTGGAGGAAAGATCATTGGAGTTGTTTGGTGAATTTGTGAAAATATATTTGTTGTTAGAAGTCTAAAGCTGAGAAGGAATGGTAGAGAAGGAACAGCCAGCTTAGACTGATGGATTCCCAAGACAGAATCCAAGCCCAACAAACTCAGAAAACTCCTGACTGTTTCTGCCCAAAGCCCCAAACATCTGAAAAACCCAGTTCAAAATTACTTACCTTTCCCTTAGACTCACATTTGAAGTCTCTGACTGTAATCAATTTTATCTGCTTTCACTACCGCAGTTTGCATCACTGAAGGAAGCTTGCCAAGCTCTTGAAATCAGCCGTTTTGGTACCAGCAGTTTTTAGGAGGTCTGGAGCCACAGCCCAGCACAACCATTGTTGAATCAAATTAGGCACATAGCAAGAAAAATAGGAAAGAATGAGAGTGTCTGGGGAAACCCAGCCAGGTGGGCGGGGTATAAAAAATAAAAATTATCATCATCATCATCTTGTATATCTGGCAACTAGCCAAAGAGCAAATAAAAATAAAATTGGACATGCCATATTTCCCCACACCCCTATTTATTGGCAATTGTGCACTGAAATGCAGATTGGTTTTTTTTAGTGCTTAGGGGATATCTATAAGTAGTTTAAATTTCAGCACACCATTTTGGCATAGTGTGTTTGCTATTGTTGCTTCTTAATTGTGCCCCCTTTTGACTGGTTTCTATATTTGAATGATGGGACCTTCAACAGAATACTGCAGTATGTTTCCTGCTAGAAGGAGTATTCATATTTAGGATTCCTCCACCTCCTCCTCCTCGACAAAGTAATAATAATAAATAAATAAGGATAAGAATGTGCACCCCACCCCCGAGACTATTCCAGTGAAACTATCCAACCTCCCAAACACCTCTTGCGATGATTTGTACAAATTCTACAAAAACTTTCCATATCTCCTCAAAATAATTTTCCTGCATATTTAGCCATGTCTTTCTCCAGGATATTTAAGGGGATAAAGCAGGGCATTCCATCCCTGACCCCAGTTTTTCATTTTCATTTTCCAAGTGGAAAAGGAATGTTGATACTCCCCCCTTTTTCCAGCCTTATTTAATGCCTGTGTTTGCTATTAGAGGGAGTGATTAAAGAATGAGGAAAAAGTGGAGCTGTTAATAGCAGAAAAATATGTTGTCCCTATGTTGGGAATGCACATGTCATACCTTATCATGAAATCAAACTGGAATGTTTGTCCTCTTGTTCAACGCATCATCTGCATAATTGCTTGACTAGGTTTCTTTCTTTTACAGTGGTGCCTCGCAAGACGAAATTAATCAGTTCCGCGAGTCTCTTCGTCTTGCGGTTTTTTCGTCTTGCGAAGCACGGCTATTAGCGGCATAGCGGCTATTAACGGCTTAACGGCTTTAAGAAAAAGGAAACAAACTCGCAAGAACTCGCAAGACGTTTCGTCTTGCGAAGCAAGCCCATAGGGAAATTCGTCTTGCGAAGCACCACTGTATTACCGCCTCTGAGTAACAGGAACGAGTAAAAATGTGCTGATTGCTGCATTACATGTTCTCAGGCTTTTCATAGTTACAAATTTGCCATTTGCTCAAAGTACCTTTCTAAATTTTTAATGTGATTGCTGTACCATCTCTATAAATCCAGTTAAGTAACTACATCTTCTGCTATCAGATAAAACAGGAATAGTGGCTTCACACTGGGTGAAGGAAAAATGAATTTTGGTAGATTTGGTTTCCTGTGCGCACACCATGCATTTAAAGCACATTTAAAGCATGTGGACTTCCGCCAAAGAATGCTGGTAACTGTAGTTCACACGACACACCTACACACTAACGTGTCACGACACATAGTTTGGAAAGCTCTGCTATAGATATTGTAATTTTGAGGATTGTTCAGACTCTGCCAGCAGCTCCCAGCCATTTGCCAGACCCATATCTTTCAATCAGGCTGTTGGAATCGAGCCATTTGCCAGACCCATATCTATCAATCAGGCTGTTGGAATCGATGGCATTTAGACATAGCATTGTACTGAACTGGTCCAGAATGTTACTACAGCTGGCCAACCTATGAATGCTACTCTATTCACATGACTGGTGTCATGTCAGAGGAAGAGACTCGCAGATGATCTACTTCCATGATTTTAAAAAAGTGCAGTTTTTCTACTCTCGGGTAGAATTTGGGAGCTCCCAACTCTAGTCCCTGCTGCCTCTAATTAATGGGTTTCAGCTACAAACTTTGGAACTTTGCAGAGTTCTGCCAGATGGACTGGACATTACTTAGCTAGATACACCAAGAGCCTGAGTAAAAGGAAGCTCCATAATATAACCTGAAGCATTCACTCAACTCATCATTCCCTCAACTCAACTACTCATGCACCATTAATTCTACAAGAAAACTGGATGCAGTACTGTCTCCACCAGCTTACTGTTGCATCCCATAAAATATCTATCTAGCTATGGAATTTCTGAAATAAGTGTGCTGCAAGATTTAACTGGTGCCTGGACTGAGAATGGAGATCTGAAATCAAAGTCAGAGCTTGACGCAAAGATGCAGTTCTTAGAGCTCACCAGATGGAGCAGCCACTCACAGGTTCTATCCATGCCCCCTTCTGAAATTAGGGTCATCATAGCTTTTAAATCAGGCATAGGCAAACTCAGCCCTCCAGATGTTTTGGGACTACAACTCCCATCATCCCTGACCACTGGTCCTGGAGGGCCGGGTTTGCCTATGCCTGTTTTAAATATTTAACAAAAGTATTTTATTGCAGTACACTAGTGTATTCCAGCAGACGGTATGGAAAGCACTAATCCAAGCAACATTGCCCTGTATAGGCAATTCCTTCATTTTCCTTCCCCTGTTCAGGTATTACGCCACCTTTTTTTCTCAGCTGATTGGCAAGGCAACATGTCTTTCCAGTTGGCATGGAGGAACCTTAGCCCTGGAAAACATGTGCATTAAATGTTACAATTTATTTCTGTAAGTGCAAAAACAAGTAGGTGCAGCTGAGTATGTGCAAAATGTTTCTCTCTTCAAAATATTTTTGGTTTGTGATGCCTTAGAGATGAATCCCATCATATTTTTAATGTTAAATGATTGCAAATTAAATTAAAATTTGTGCTTATCTCAACCATATATTTTAACTAATCACATATGACATAGTCTCTATTATTCTGGAAAAGTTATTTGATGTATTACTTAAAAGTGCCAAAATATACATGTTGTTAATTAGTCAAGGATGCTGATGTGCTGTGATTTAGGGGGAGCTCCACCCCCTTCAGTGTGAGAGAAGGATTAATATTTACCTTTGAGAGAGGGCCCCGTATGTTCTTTGCTCTTCCTCTCTTTATTTTTTGATGTTATTTTGTTTTGTTTTAATTTTTTTTAGATTAGATTGTTTTTTATTCTATTTTATGATGAAAAGTTTCAATACAATTTATGGGGTGGGGGGAAACCTCCCATGTTTGTGTGTGTAGATACCTTTAAAAAAAAGGAAGAATGACAGGTAAAGTCGAAAGCACAAATGAGTGGCTGGAGGGGATTATGAGGAATCATATAATTCTGCATGTCAAAAACTGTGAAATCCTTTTGCTATGGTTTTGTTATGTTTAATAGTATGTTTATCTTGTATTTTACAGTTGAATAAAAAACAGAGCCAAAGCAGCAACCTTTTTAATTATTAGTTCAGAGAGTTATTAATTTAGAAAGTTGCCAAAGTTTAATTTAGTTTCTTATATTTGCTTCGGGCAATTACCACTACCAAATAATTAATTAATGGTTTGTATTTGTTGTTGTTATGATCAGCTTAATGCTCCTTATCTCATTTCTCAAGGTGATACTTTAAGAATTGACTTTACTGGCCCATGTCCTTAATATTTCTGCATTCCTGTTAAAGTTCAAAAAATGTGAAAGTTAAATACATATTAATGTTCACCCTGCCAAGAATTGATTTCCCCAATACTCTTTATTTTTAAAATACCATTTTAGTTGGTTATAACATATAACCCTCCTATAACCTTCCATTTCAAAGGAGAATTGAACTCTGGCCATGTTGCTACTGTATTAGCAGGCAGCTTGTTATTCTTTCATTGATATACTAATGTGAGGACATAAGATCAGGCTAATGGCCCATCTAGTCCAGCATCCTGTTTTTGCAGTGGCCAACCAAATGCCTGGGGGAAACCCACAAGAAGGATTTGAGCCCAAGAGCACTGTCCCCTCCTGTGATTTCTAGCAACTGGTATTCAGAAGCATTGCTGCCTCCAACTGTGGAGGCAGTGCACAGACATCATGGCTAATAACCACCGAAAGCCGTCCTCCATGATTTTTTTTCTAAACCATTCTTTAAAGCCATCTGGATTGGTGCCTCTCACTGCCTCTGGAGGGAGCGCTCTCCAACACTAGGAGCAAGGTCTCCATAGTATCAGATAAATAGTGCTGATTTTGTCAAAAACATATCCATTGTTTGCTTTGATGAGCAAGTATTCTGGCGGTTAAAAGCCAATACACTGGCTGTTTCCCCCCACCCCCCAAAAAAATCTCAAATAAGTAATCACTAAGATCCACCCCATATTGAGCATCCCATTCTTATCCACTTAATTGTTGGTTTTCTCAGGAATGGGGCACTTATATTTGTTGCTGCTCATTAAAGGCAGATAATTCTTCTGTTGCGTGTTACCACAAAAGCAAATTTGGTTCTTCTTTGTACTTCATCTTTCAATCCTTCTTAACAATAAGTTGAAGCCTCTGGCAGGCCCCCAAAGGCTTTTAAGAAGGCAAGGAACTAGGCTTGATTACTGGCAACAAACAGGACCAGTATAGAATTGCAACCTCTATTATATTCCATTCCCCCCCCTCCCACCATGTTTTAGAAGTTTCTTGAAAGGAAGATGTACTTAATGAGTGCTAATTTTTTTAGCGGTGTTTTTATTATACTCGAATATTTTTCTTTAATATGTGCCTTTTACTTTACAGCTCTTTCAAACATCTGATTGGAGGCCTGGATGATGTTTCCAATAAAGCATATGAGGATGCCGAAGCAAAAGCAAAGTAAGTGTCAGTCAATGGTTCTTTTATATACTTTCTTTCAATATACTTGCCTTTGTGCTTCTTTATTTAAAAGAAAGGGGAGGGGGAACCAAATTAAAATATTTCTGAAAACAGTCCTTTAGTGTTGTAAAAGAAAACTCCTAAAAATATAAAATTAAAGAAATGTGATCAGTACCAATGTATATACAGTGGTACCTTGGGTTAAGAACTTAATTTGTTCTGGGGGTCCGTTCTTAACCTGAAACTGTTCTTAACCTGAGGTACCACTTTAACTAATGGGGCCTCCCGCTGCCGCCACGCCACTGGTGCATGATTTCTGTTCACATCCTGAGGTAAAGTTCTTAACCCGAGGTACTATTTCTGGGTAAGCAGAGTCTGTAACCTGAAGCGTCTGTAACCCAAGGTACCACTGTATATTTTTTTACCATATTCCAAAAGCACAACTATGTTGCGCAGTATTTCTTTGAGACAATAAATAAAAGATCAACAAGTCAAAAAAATGTGTGGCTCTCAAGTAGTGGAGACCTGGGCTGGCTCCTATAGCAGCAATTATTCCCATTGCTTGTCCTGCCAAAGAGGAGTGGTGACACAAGGAGATATGGGCCTGGGATGGGCTGGAAGGAGGCAGGCAGTTGCCCTTCTGGCCTAAGACATGGAGAAGATGAGCTGGTAGATTCACTCTTAACACCAAAGCAAGGCAGCTACATCCCAGGATCGGCTGAGTGATCACATTGCAGCAGCAATTGCAACTTCTGGATTGCTTGGTCCTGCACATAGAAAGGAGAGGACAACAGAGAGGAGGACAGCCTGCTTTCTCCCTTTATACCATCCTTTTCACCCCTAGTTGATAAACCCAACTCTCCCCACATCAGGAATTATTATACAAACTGCAGCTAAAAATAACTAGCAGGTTAGAAAGGTTGGTTTGACAGACTAGCTAGTGCTTCAGTCAACATTCATATTAAGAAAGGAATAATATTCCCACCAGCAGACTAGCTGGAATCATGACACCGACAACTTGGGAATATGTTCTCAACTCCTCAGAAATCTGTATATAATAGTACACATTCCAACAAATTGATGATAAGGGCTGCTATAATTGCGACTTAGACATTCTCCTGCCTGAACGATCTTAATAGAAAGTCTTACAAGTGTGCATTATAGTTTAATCTTCTCTGTGAAACCAGAAATGACTTCTATTTTATTTTAATTTTTTGCAATAAAACGAGCAGAATTCAAGGTTCTCGAGAGGCACAAATTGAAAGGTGCCTAAACAGTATAAAGTTTAAATGGTAACTTGTTATTGCCATATTTACAACTACTCTAGGGTATTGTTGAGAAATGTGTAAGAGAGCCTAGTAGACCCTGATGTTAAGTCAGAACATTATAGATGTCTAGCAAGCTCCAGTGGTAGTCAGCAGAGGAACCTGACACAGGGCATTAATTTTTAGGGTGGTGGCAGAGCTGAGGCATTCATAGATCTGCTGAATCATTTCCCAGAGGGGGCCTGATTTGGGCCTCTGCTATGCCAGCCTGGAGCCAGTGCTGCAAAAAATAATCTCCCAATGTCACATCCTGGTTGACAGGAGCTGGCAGGGCTGAGGATGCTATGGATAATCTGCTTTTCCACTCTTCCCAGGCCCCTCTTAAGACTGCTCTGCCCATCCTTTTCTTGCATGTCTATGCAATCCTGAAGTGGCTGAATTAAGTGGTCTTTGACTTTGTTAAGCTGAAGGTATCACTGCTTCATACATCTAGATGTTACAAAGCACAACAACTTTTCAGAAAATATATTAGTCAAATACCACAGACAGATTTGCTAGGCTTTTTGAAAGTATCCATATGGAATACGTTGTACCTTACAGAAGCCATACTGAAACCTGCTTCATAAAGGTGTTCTGTTCAACAGTTCCTTCATCTGGCAGAGCTCCTATAAGATGGTTTTTCATGTTGCTCTAATTGACTTCAACTAATTGCCTTTCAAGGGAATATCTTTCAAGTATCAGGCTGTGAATTGACAGCAGGAGATACAGTTCTGTGTAAGCAAGGTGCACGCTTGCTAATAAGATAAGTGGCAGAATATTATTCTTTTCTGTCAGTTTGCACTGGAAAATATCACATTATTGAGCACCGATCATAGTGACTTTGAGGAATGTTTAAGTTACTTATTTATATATAGAAAGCTGACTCAGTGATTGATTCCTGGCCACAATGTGTGCAATTCAAAGATTTATCACATCTGAGGTTCCTTCTAGTTTGCTCTATAAAAGAATATAAACCCCAATGTGCCCAGGTATTTCATATTGTGCAGTGTTATCTTTCTTGGAGAAGGGAACGGAGAATTCCCCTCACACAGAAATTTCATTGTTTACATTTGAACTGCTGGATTGCAACCAGTGGCTTTATTTTGGCCTCTCCTACTAGTGGCAGTGACAGAGAAAAATACTAGATGGGGGGTGGTGCGGGTACACAAACAGGACAAAGTGAATTTCGGGGAACCAGCTTGTGAAACGTACCTTTCCGTCAAGTAACCAGAAGGATTCATCACTTGCAGGGACATAGGCTACTTGTCTGGCAGCACCTATGTCCAAATCCCAATTTCACATTCCCATGCATGTTGCTGTCTCCTTTTCCCAGCACCAGATCAATTTTAATCTATCATGCTGAATAATTCTCAGCCAATGAGCATTGGCTAGTTATCTTGTAGATATCAATAATATCACTGTACTTGGTTGTTGTCAGCCTGAGCTACTATTAGTAGCTTCGGATAAGGCGGCGTTGCAAAGCAACATGATGTGTGCAACGGAACGCAGACTTTTGATATCACTCATTTGGGGATGTGCAACAGAGATGTGGGAGCAGATTGTGCATTTCCCAGATAGTGAAGAAGTAATATATATATATATATTATATATATATCAGATAAAACAGTGTCTTAAGTAAGCTTAAAGTGTTTGTGATTCTTCTTCCACAACACTATTGCATATAACCTGCTATGAGTAATGAAAAGATTTTTGCCATGTTTGGATGTCGCTCTAAACCATACTGTAAAAAAGGTAAAGGACCCCTGACAGTTAAGTCCAGTCGCAGACGACTCTGGGGTTGTGGCTCTCATCTCGCTTAACAGTTTTTCCGGGTCATGTGGCCAGCATGACTAAGCCCTTCTGGTGCAACGGAACACTGAAACCAGAGCAGCACATGGAAACGCCGTTTACCTTCCTGCCAGAGCAGTACCTATTTATCTACTTGCCCCCCCTTTTTTTGCATGCTTTTGAACTGCTAGGTTGGCAGGTGCTGGGACTGAGCAACGGGAGCTCACCCTGTTGCAGGGATTCGAACCACCGACCTTCTGATTGGCAAGCCCAAGAGGCTCAGTGGTTTACACCACAGCGCCATCCGCATCCCTAAACCATACTGTAGTGCAGTGTAAATGAGCTGGAATGAGCTGCAGCAAGCCTTGGGCACTTGCACTCCCCTCTCCCCGGTATAGCTGCGAGGAGCTCAAAAGCTGTTGCTTCCATTTTTACTTAACCACAGCTTGTCGTGTCTGAACTGACAAACTGGTTAACGTTAACTGTTTTTCTCTGAAACAAGCACAGTTGAAACTGTGGCTTTGTGTGATGTATGAATGCAGCCTTTGTGCTGGCAGTGCTCTAGAAAACTTTGCTTTCTTCCTATAGACAAGCAGCCACAAGGACATGCCTTTCAGTACCACGTTATCTTAGTTATGGTATAGTCATAAATACTGTCAGCCTGGTAAATGCATATACAAATCTTCTCTAATATATAAATCCTACATATGAGTAGAATTCCAGCTTTCCAGCTGTAACATCAAGTAAACAATGAATGACATCTTATGATGCACAACTGCAATTTGTTTGCACAGCAGAACATCTTTTCTCACCCTCCAGCCCATTGTGTCCCCTCAAAACCTCTGCAGGATCCCCCAACCCTCCAGAGCAGTGGGTTTTTTGAACAGGGACAGCTGCCAGGGGTGGCAAAAGAAAGGAGAAACCCTACTGAGTGAACAGAGACCCACTTGCAGTATGGTGAATCTCACCCAGCTACTTACATTTAAATACTGATATAAAATAAACAAAAATTACAGTGCTTCAGTATATCATAAACAAACATTTCAAAGCAATTCCTTCATAAATTCTGCTTTGAACATCAATATTAATATCATGTTGCAAAAAAAAAAATGTGGTAGTGCCAAAAGAACAAGAATCTACACGTTTTCCTTTAAATATTCTTGAGTTCTCTAAAAAAAAAAAAGCATTGTTTTATTGATGGCTTAATTATGCTGCACATGAAATAAGTCTGGAAAAGAACGCCTATCAACTTAAATGAATTACAGATGGCAACACTACAAAAAATAATTTCCAACCCTATTTTCGCTCTGCATTTTAGATTAGGACTTAATTCTTGTTGCCTATCTGTGAAGCAAATTCCATATACAACAGCTGAAGAAAGCAGTTGACTCATTGCCAGCAAAAGTCTGCTTTTTTAATGTTTAATTTGGTTCCTAAGTTAGGGAATATCTAAATCTTTATTATTTTGGTCTCCTGTCTTTCCTTCAAGACACTTGGTTTGGCATACATATGTATTTTTTATCCCATTTTCCCTCACAACAGACAGGCCCAGTTCTGATTTGGGGAGAGGGGTGAGCAAATTGCTTTGTGGGAGCCTTGACACACCCTGGGAGCTTAGCAGATAAAGATGTGCTGATGAACCTGTTTAGTTTTTGAAAACTAAATATTGTCCATTGTTTAGTGGAGAAGAACCGGGCTGGGTGGCTGTAGCAATCATACTCTGGAGCAGCACTCTGTGTGCTATGACGGGCTCCTCGTCAGTAGTGATTACTTGTTCTGTCTGCCCTTAAAGGGACATGGCCAACAGTGTGTTCCACTTGTGCCAGAAGAATTGGATCTTACCTGTTACGTAGAGTTGGCACTTCCCCATTCCTTCCTTTTTTAAATTCGGGACTCCTTGCCTTTAAT